TCTCTCTTCCCACTTCTTCCCTGTAGTTACCTTTCCCCTATGTCTTTCTTTCCTATGCATTCCTGCCCTCTAAGCTACCTCCCTGTGCAAATACTGTCCTTCTGTTCTCTCATGATTGATCAACTGATTGTTCTAAGGAGTGTATCTATCTGATGTAAATGTTCACCCTATAAGCCTGTCTATTGTTTGGCTGGAAGCCAGGGGAGTAAATTCAATCCCAGACCTGAAGGGTAACTACAGGTCATAGTCTTGGAAATTTCGCTAGGCTCTATCGGACCAGTAAACCTGACTTTTTTTTTTTTTTTTTTTATGATTTTGAGTTTTGTTCCACATTGTTCTCCCACTTTAGCCAGGATCTCTTGCACTGACCCCTTTCTGAGTGGTTGACAGTCATAGCCAGGCACCAACTAGCTCTTCTGAAAACGAACAATTTCTTTAATTTCTTGTCACTTTTGAACGTTTACTCAGCTATCTATAATATTCTAAGGTCCAAGTTATTTCCATTCAATACTTTGAAAATGGTATACACTTTTGACTTATTCCTTTCTTCTTTACAGACGAGAATTTTATGTCAATCTGATTCTAATTCTGTTAAGAGTAATCTGTTTTACCTTGGGTATCTCAACAAGCCAGCATGGATTTTAGCTTCTATTGAAGGAAACTTTAAAGTGAATCTGTTAGGCCTAAAAGTACTTTGTTCAGCCTCTATCTCATAAAGAATTACCTTTGCTGACAATATATATAGGAGCTCTGGTGGCATAGTGCCTAACGCATTTGACTGCTAACCAGAAGTCTGGCGATTCAAACCTACCAGCCACTCCTCAGAAGGAAGACTGGGCAATCTACTTCCATAAAGAAACCATGTCGGAAAACCAAAGACATACATATATATATATATATATATGTGTATATATATATATGTGTGTGTATAGGAGCTCTGGTAGCGTAGTGGCTAAAGCACTTGACTGCTAACCAGAAGGCTGGCGGTTCAAACCCACCAGCCACTCCTCGGAAGGAAGGTTGGGCAATCCTACTTCCGTAGTGATACTGCCTCGGAAACCCAAGGAGGAGTCGCTATGAGTTGGGGCTGACTTGACGGCAAACAACAACAACAACAACATATGTGTATATATATGTGTGTGTGTGTGTGTGTGTGTGTGTGTATACACACACACAGAAAAAGAGAATATTTAATACTTAGAGAAGCTAAAAAAATAACTTTCTTGCAACTTACCACGTCATGGTAAATAAAATTAAAATTAGGTTTTGATAGTAATGAGTTATAATTTTTCTATAGATTTTTATATTGCAATTCAATGTAAAAATATAAAATCTTTCTTGTTTTCAAATTTATTATGACAGAGAATGATATGGAATATAAATTTTATACCACAGATATTAAAGGACTTGATGGAATAAAACAAGTTTTTGTAAGAAAAAGTGTTAGCTCACAAAATATTTTTTGCTTTTTATCCTTGTCTGACTTCCATAAAAAAACTATAAAAAGCCAGAAAAACTGTTGGCTTTGTTGCTTCTTTGCTTGCTTTTTTAGATGACTAGCATGATTTGTTTTTCTTTCTTGTATAAATCATAACAATTTCAGAAATTTAAATACAAGCTAAATGTTGGTTATATTTCAACTTTTCTCTCCTTGAATTTTTTTTCTTTGATATTCTTGAATTGCAAGCTTAGTTAATTTTCCTTCTTTTCAGTCTGCTACTGGAAATATTTAAGACAATGATTTTTCCTCGCAGTAGAACTTTAGCAGAATTTCCTAAATGTCCAAGAACACTATCTTTTCTCCATAGTATGTACTTGCCTATTTGATTTCCTTTTGAGTTGTTTTCAAAAGAGGATCTTTTAATTTTAATTTTTACAATATTGCCAAATTTTTCTGAAGTCAAAAAGTCATATCCTGGCAGAGTCATCCAACAATTTAATTTAGTACAATTTAGTTTAGTATATATATCTTTCTATATCCTCCCCATAACTGACGGGAGAATGCCTCTAGCAATAGAAAACCGCCACCCATTCCATTTGTTCTCTTGCATTCTGAGTAGAAATCTACCTCTTCATCTTATCTTAATTCTTCCCAGTTTTATTCACAATATATAATATGCAAACACACAGCTTGTTGACACGGCAAGCTTTTCTTGCTTTTTAAAAGGAGTTATCAAAGACTCAAGAGAAAAGTAATGAATCTCATATGTATATTAAGACATTTAAGGAGTTGCAATACCTTCCTAGTAATGTTATTATTTTACTTGGAAACAAAAAGCATAAAAATAGAGATATAGATATTTGGGAACAATCACAACAAAGATTAGATACTAGCTGAGTTGAAATAAGAAACCTCTGGGAGTTGGTTGTTCTAAGGAGAAGAATAATAGAATACAAAGTTGGAAGCAGAGGGAAAGAGATGACAGAAAGATACAGAGGAAGGAAAAAGGAAAGTTGGGATAAATCTAAAAGCAGAGTTGTTTAGAAGAGAAGGTTAATAATGCTACAAGAGAAACTCAAGGTGAGTAGAAAGAAATTAAAGATCAAGGTAATGTGTGTATGGCAGAATGAAAAGTAAAAGAAGAAAAGCCTGACAGTAGTGCTCAAGTAAAGGAACTTATTTCTTGAAAATGATTATTGTGTTTGCTAAGGACTGTTCCCTACCTTAGACAACTAGTTATTAAAAAGACATAATAAATATAATAAATATAAATCATTAGAGTTTTTAACTGTATTATTTATACCCAGATTACAGAAATAAAAAAATTAAAGTTAGAAGAAACTGTGTTAAAAATGTTAAACCCTGTTAAAGGCAACAAAGGTGAATATTATTATATACAATTTATTTCAGTAACAAAAAAGTTAAACCTTACCCAAAAGTTGAGTTCAGATGCTCCCAATCTTTGAATTTTAGTTCTCTTTAGAATTATAACCTAAATATATGACAGAAAAATAAAACAATTAAAATTAACACACATTTTGTGAATGGTACATTTCAAAAATTACTACTCCCTTCCATCTTGGTTATCATCAGCCATTTCTACCTTAATTGTTGATTTTTCAAATTGTATATATGGTAAATTTCCTTGAGGTGATGTCTAAATACTTCCTGTGCCGACAAAAAGTTGCCTCTTGAATCAAGTTAATTCCTCACTAATTTAATCTGGAGTTTTCTGAGTAATTCCCCTAAAGAAGCAGATGGTGCATTGGTGATGATCACTGCAAGTGTACATTGTGTAGCAAAACAGTGAATCAAATTAACATGAAAATCCTTTCTTTACAAACTCCCAGATGAAATATTTTTAAATGTTTTTAAAATGAACAACTGAACTTTTAAGAAAGAAAAAGAACTTTCTAGACGGTAGAAACAAGAAGGTGATTTAGGAAAAAAACAAAAAACTGAAAACATTAGTCATTGAGATGACCTATGGCAGTCTTTAAGAAGATTGAAAAACTATGTTACACTCCAGCAATAATAGTAAAGTTCAACAAGATAGAAAATAACAAATGCTTAAGGGGGGTATGGAAAGGTTGGAACCCTCATACAGCCTGTGGGACTGTAAAATAGTTCAACTACTGTGGAAAACGATATTGTTGTTGTTGTTATTTGCCATTGAGTCGGACCCGACTCATAGTGACCCCTCCTTGGGTTTTCGAGGCAGTATCACTATGGAAGTATATTGCCCAACCTTCCTTCTGAGGAGTGGCTGGTGGGTTTGAACCTCCAGCCTTCTGGTTAGCAGTCAAGTGCTTTAGGCACTACATTACCAGAGCTCCTGTGGAAAACGATATGGCACTTCCTTAAAAGTTGGAACTAGAAACAACATTTGATCCAACAATCCCACTACTAGGAATATATCCTAAAGGGGTGAGATCTGGAACACAAAAAGATATATGCACACCAATGTATATCACAGCACTATTCACAATAGCAAAGAGATGGAAACAACCTAAGTGTGCATCAACGGATAAATGGATAACCAAACTATGGTACACACACACAATGGAATGCTATGCAACACTAAAGAATAATAAAGAATCTATGAATCACCTGATAAATTCACCTGATAGTGAACTTGGAGTACATTATGCTGAGTAAAATAAGTCAATCATAGAAAGGCAAATATTGTATGAGTCTGTCATTATAAAAAATCAAGGAAAGGTTCACACCGGGAGGGAAATTTTCTTTGCTGGCTACCAGGGAAGGGGGTGGTGGTGTTACTGCTGATGAGTTAAGAGATGTGTTGATGTGGGTGAAGGGAAAGACAATATAATAAAAGTGTGTGACCAGCACACTATCATTAAGGAAGAGGAAGACACAGACAGAAAAGTGTCCAAGAGGTACAGATAACAAAGGTAAATATTATTACATACACATTTATCAGTATTAACAAACACTAATCTTTAGGTAGATATATAGGTAGACAGGCAAGATTAGGTATGGGTAGGCAAATGGGAATATACCCATGAGAATACATAGGTTTGGGAGATGACATTCCTGCACATAGTTGTATGTGGTATAAAACTGTCTATGTACATTATAGAGCTAATGGGACAAAGTTAGGATAACTTCTTAGCCACAACCAAGCACCTTGAGTGAGTGAATTGCTGAGCCTGCTGGCTCAGGACTATAGTTGCAGGGGACATCAAGCTCAATTGGTTCAACATAGTACATAAAAACATTCTTTTACATCTTACTTTGGTGAGCAGCAACTAGGGTCTTAAAAGCTTAGAAGTGGCCATCTAAGGTGCAACTATTGGTCTCTCCTCATATAGAGCAAAGAAGAATGAAGAAAATAAAAGAGACAAAAACAATTAGTCCAAGGGACTGATGAACCATGGGAACCTCAGCCTACATGACCCTGAAGACAGAAGAACTAGATGATATCCAGATACCATTGCCAACCACTCAGAGAGGGATCAAAATTGGAGATCCTCATAGAGTGGGGGGAAAATGTGGAACAGAACACAAAAAAATAGAAAAGACCAGGATCACTAGCCAGATAGAAGCTGGTGAAACCCTTGAGACTGTGATCCCAAGTTACCCTTTGGGCCTGGAATTGGACTCACTCCCATAGGTCAGCTCTTAGGCAAATAATTATCTATTATTATCTATTATTGTTCAGCCGACAAGCTGAACAACTACACCAGGAAGATGCACTTCTTAGAACAGTCAACAGCAGGAGATTGGAAGGGCAGCTTTTTGACAGGGAGAAAGCTAGGCAGGCAGGAATACATAGGTAAGATGGACACAGGGAAGGAACAACCACAGGAAGTAGGTGGGAGGAGAGTTGTTACATTTTGGGGATTGTAATAGGTGCCATGGAACAAAATGTGTATGAACTATTGAGTGTAAAATGAATCTGCTTTGTAAAAGTGCACCCATGTTACAATAAAAAATTAAAAAAAAAAACTATCAGAAGAGCAGCAAAAGAGGAGTAAAGTAAGAAGCTGGAGTTGAAACATATGCATAAAGCTGGGGTCTTCAGAAACTCTACCCTCAGTGACTAGAAATTCTCTACCTACCATGTCTAGAAACCGACAAAGAAGGGAAATGAAAAAGATGTATGTTGATACTTACTCGTACAAAAAAGGATAAATCAGAATACTAATGAGACTTCTTACCTACAAGGAGTCTGTAGGAAGAGGGTGGAAAGAAATAGGGAGATAATGGGGTTGCAAGAGATGAGGGGAGAGTGATACTTTTCAGAATTTAGCTTTTTGTCTATTTCTTACACTTCAAAAGATGGTAATATTTCACCTATCCCCTAAAATAAATTAAGTGATTAAAATCAACCAGGGTAAAATTGTTTCTGTCAAGTTGTAGTAGCAGGCAACAGATTTTCTGTCCCGTCTGAAATGACTAACAAAAGAAGGCAAAACATAGAAAACAACAGTTTTTAAGAAACTGGACATCAGGCAAGAGAGGACACTGATCCCTGAGAGATGGAAAAAATGAGGTGAGTCCTCTGATTGTCCCAGCTTACTGCCTTTATAGAGTGCCCAGGCTGTAGCACGGGGAGGGAGAATATAATAGTCTCCTTGAGTTGAGGAAATGGAGATAGGAGCCTATTAAGACAAAGGAAGCTAGAGTTTTCAGGTCAGAGTAGTGGAGAGCAGAAAGCAGCATAGAGATAGGGGTCCAAAGATCTGTGGTAGGTCTCCTTCAAGTCTTCGGCAGACTACTGATTATCACACACATATTTAAAAAAAAAAAAAAAGAAAAAACCCTGAAACAATTAGAGGGAACAATATCCATAGCGTAGATAAACAAGGAATAGTTCTTATTCCTGCATGGAGTAGAATATATCATAAATCATGGATGTCAAGTACTGTTAACAGATGGTTTGCCTCAGTGGGGGGGTAATATTATTAATATTAAACAAAATACTATTTTAGCCTCACTTAAAAAAATATTAAAATCAATACCCAAAGATCAAATTGTTTTCATGTAATTTAACTGCATTACAGACTAATGCTTAACACTATTTCTAGGAATAAAAGAATATCCAGGATGCAACAAAGTAAAATATATGAAGTCTGGCACTCAATCAAGGAGCTCTGGTGGTGTGGTGGGCAAGGCATTTGTATGCTAACCAGGAGTTTGGTGGTTCAAATCCACCAGGTGCTCTGTGGAAGAAAGATGAGACAATCTATTTCTGTAAAGATTTACAGCCTTAGAAACCCAGTGGGGGTCACTATGAGTCAAAATTAACTCAATGGCAGTGGGTTTGGCTTTTTTTGGGAAGGGGCATTCATTCAAACACTACAAGGCATGCAGAGAAGCAGAAAAACAAACCCATAATGTAGTGAAAAATTAATCAATTAAAAATGATCCCTCCTTGGGTTTCCAAGACAGTAGCACTATGGAAGTAGATTGCCCAGTCTTCCTTCCAAGGAGTGGCTGGTGGGTTTGAACTGCCAGCCTTCTAGTTAGCAGTCAACTGCCTTAGGCACTACGCCACCAGAGCTCCTAGAAATAACATGGATGATAGAATTAGTAGTTGGAAACAATTCTAGTTATTGTAACTGTATTACACATGGTGAAAAAGCCACAGAAAAGAGTGAGCTTGTTAAGTAGAGACATGGTACAAATAAAAAAGATCCAAACTGAACTTTTAGATATGAAAACGACAACACCTGAGATGAAACATACACTGGATAGGATTAACATCAGATAGACACTGCTGGAAAAAAAGATTAGTGAGCCTGCAGACATATAGATAGAAACTATTTGAACTAAAACAGAGAAATAAAAATACTGGAAAAAATAACAGAGTAACAGAGAACCATACCACAATTTCAAGAAGTCTAATATATGTGTTACTAGAGTCCCTAGAAATGTGGGGAGTGGAAAAATATGTTAAGAAATAATGGCCAAAAGTTTTCCAAATTTTATAAAAATTATAAACTCAGAGATCCAATAATTTCAATGAACCCCAAACACAAGAAACATTTAGAAAGAGTAAGGCACATTATAATCAAATCATACAAAATCACTTATAAACAGAAAATCTTAAGAATAGCCAAAGAAATTAGACCTGTTAAGTCAGAGGAAAAAAAGGTAAGGATGCTAGCAGATTTCTCACTTGAAAAAAAAAAATGCAAGCATCAAGACAGTGGAGCAAGATCTTTAAAACACAGAAAGATGAATACTGTCAATATATAATTTTATATTCCTAACAAAATGTATCTTTCAAAAATGATGCCAAAATAAAGACTTCATGACTTCATGAGATACATGCATGACAAGAAATGTTAAAGGGGGTCATCAGATAAGGAAAAATTATATCAAATGTTGCAGTGTAGTAAATTACTCAGTATGGCTTTTCTATCCATAAGTCATTGTAAACTCAGTGGTGGAATGAGCAACTGAGGAGCTCCTGATTGTAAATGTTATCCACCTGGGTTATTTCTGTTGGGAATGGCACAACACAATGTTATGGGAGGCTCTCTCTCAGGTGCTTAGAGTTCTGATGCTATGATTGGCTAGTTTGACCACCCTGCCAGGCTCAAAAAGAGGTCTCCTAGAGGCAGAACTCTCTCTGACCACTGGTTGAGGAAGACATGCTGCTGAAAGAGACACGCGCTACTGAAAGAGACATGTGTTGCTGGGAAAGAGACACAAGAGACATGCGTTGCTGAGTAAGACACCGAGGGACCAGCACTGCTGGGGGAGAGACTGTGAGAGACTTGGCTGAGAGACAGTGGCCTGGGAGAGAGATTGAGCATTTTTCCTGAACTTGAATTGTAGCCTGGTGCTTCCCTAATAAACCCCATAATCTGTGAGTTCTGTGTGGCCACTGCAGCGAATTATCGAACCCAGGAGAGAGGTGGTGGGTGCTTTGGGAGGAACGGTTGGAGAAAGGACTGGAGGGAGGCAGCATGTCTGGCCTTGCAGTAATAGGCCTTGGGCTATTAATGGTGATTCTGCCTTCCTCTTGTGGGGTTCTAGGAGGTCAGAACATGTGGCCTCCTTGCCCTTTTTTGCAAATGTCAATTTAGTTCTACAGAAATGAAGGGCACTGGAAATAGTAACTATGGGGTAAATTTATAAGTTTTTAAAAAATATTAAAATATTTTACAGATAGTGACTGCTTATTAAAAAATCAATAAAACTTTCAGTGATTTATGCTATATATAAATAAAATATATGATAATAGCACAAAATAAATAAAAATGCAACATATAAAAATATGTGGGATGTTGTTAAAAGTACTTTGAGGGAAATTCATAGCAATAAACATCTGTGTTAGGAAAAAAAAAATCAATGACCTCACCTTCTACCTTAAAAAATGAGAAAGAGGAAAATAAAACCAAAATAAACAGAAGAAATGATGTAATAAAGATAGATTAGAAATCAATGCAACAGTAAAGAAAAAAGTAGAGAAAATTAATGAAACTGAAAATTGGTTCCTTGAGAAGAACAATAAAATTGATAAACCTCTAGTCAGATTGATCATAGAAAAAAGAAAGACAAATTTCCAGTATCAGGAATGTGAGAGATGATATCACTGTAGATTTTGCAGATACATAAAAGATAATATGGGAAAGTTATGAACAATTTTGACAATAAGTTTGACATCTTAAATAAAATGGACAGATTACTTGAAAGACACAAACTAGAAAAGTTCACACAATGGTCTGCTCCTAGGAAGACTACAACCAAGAAGACCATGTGGGGCAGTTCTTCACTGTCAGGTGGGGCTGCCACAAGTCAAAACTGATTTTATGGTACCAAACAACCACAACAACACAGAGCACACGCGTTACACCTCATAGTGATACACAAATCATCTATTTCAATCCTATACAGTGAGCTTGAAACACAGTATGACCTTAGGTCGTCCTAACACCACTCTTCTGCACCATGACTGGGAAGTTGTTTCACACTGCACCATAAATTCTGCTTTTTGTTGAATTCTACTTTGAACAGATGAACTCATACAGATCAATATCTGTCTTTGCATTTTCAGAGACTCTGGAGTGATGTAATGAAAGCCAATAATGAATCATGTTACAATAGCCAATGAAAATAGAAAAAATTATATGCAATGGGAGAGTGCCTCTTAAATATAAAATTCACTACCAAAAATAAATTAATAAATAACTCACTCAAGGAAAAATAAATAACCCAAGTATTTTCATATCTAGTAAAGAAGTGTGTGTGTGTGGGGGGGATTTCTGCAACGGAAGGACCAGATGTCTTCATTCATAAAATCTATCAAACATTTAGGGAAGAAATCAAATGTATTTTATACAACTTATTTCAGAAAACTGAAGAGGAAGGAATACATTCTAACTTACTCTATGAGACTAGCACTATGCTGTTGCCAAAACAAGGCAAAGATATCACAAGAAAACTATGTACCAATGTTCCTTATGAATGGAACAACAATTCTAAATAATATTTTAGAAAAGTATATCCAACAACAAATAAGTAAAGAGGATAATACATAATAATCAAATTGAAGTCTATCCAAGGAATGCAAAGGTGATATATAACATTTGAAAATCAATCAGTATTCACCATATTAACTAGAAGAGAAATCATATAATATTACATTATTCCCAAAATTCATTTCTGAAAAAAAAACAAAACTCACAGCAAACTAGGAATACATGGGAACTTCCTTAAGCCAATAAAAAGACTCTGAAAAACCTATAGCTAACTCCATACGTGGAGTCACAGTGTGGTGCACATGGTTAATACACTCAGCTGCTAACCAAAAATTTGGAAGCTGGAGTTCACCCAGAGACACCGTGGAAGAAAGGCCTGGCAGTGTACTTTCAAAAAATTCACCACTGAGAACCTTAGGGAGCCAAGTTGTACTCTGACATGCATGGGTAGCCATGAGCTGAAGTTAAGTCAATAGCAACTAGTTAACAACTTACTTAATGATGAAAGACTCAATGCTTTTCCCCTAAGATGAGACATAAGACAAGGATGTCCACTTTCACCACGTTTATTGTAGCCAGTTTAGTAGCGCAAGAAAAAGAGAAAAAGGGTATCGCTTTGAATGTTTATTTGCAGACAATGTGATCATCCATGTATGAATCAGATGGATTTTATATAAAAGCTAGTAGAATGAATAAAAAGAAAAAGAAAAGAAAAAAAAATGTTGGGGTAGAGAGAAAAGAGAAGGGTTACTACTAAAAGGCAAAAAAGGTGTAGGAAGCAAAAATATTAAAATGCAAAGGCAATCCCAAAAGATTCTATTTGTGCACCACACTTGGAAAAATGCTATATTTTGATGCCGTTGTGGCTGGTATAATTTCTAGTAAATGTGAAGTTGAGAGATGGGGGAGAACATTCCAGGTCCCTGCTTATGACCATCAGAAGTGTGACTATAAAGTACTGACATTGATTTACTGAATCACCATTCCAAACAAATATCCAAATGAGTGTAATCCCATTAAAATATATCACATGAGGGAGATTATAAACTTCTTGTAATTATGTTGCCATTGCTCAAAATAGTTTTGGAACTCTTATTTCTAAATTGCCTTCAGATATAATTTTCCAGGTCTTAAGAAAATTGGTCTTACTACTTTATTGTCACACCACATTTTGATCAAGATCACTATTAGCAGCCCAATCACCCAGCTTATTCACAAGACTTGGCTCCAGATAACTTTTGAGACTTTCCAAAAATCAGATCCACGCATGAAAGATGATGATTTGTCACCATTAGGATACTCAAAAGAAGGTGACAGTCTGTGAAGGCAATTCAGAGGAGTTCCAAAAATGTTTTTGGCAATGGCAGTGTCACTGCAATAAGTATTTATGCTACTGAAGTGACTTTACAAGGAAAAAATCATTGTTATACTATGTTGTGGCATATTTTAAAAGTAAGTTTCAGTACCTTCTGATCATTTTTAAGTATTTACATAAGCACTTCGTTAAAAAGAAAAACTTTGAACTATATTATTTTTCAAGGATGAAATAGAGAAAAATCTTTCCTTAGGAAAATCTTGTCATCATGTGAATGATAATCAGGAAAGAAACCTATTTATTTTCCTAAACCTGTGTTAGATGGGTAAATCAGCTATGGGACAGATTAAAAGGAAAAACAAACAGAAAAAACACCTTCATGAGTTTAACACTTACCCATGTCATTAACAAAGATGAGGAATAATAAGAAGATAAGTACATTGGATTTCCAAACATTAAAATGAAACAAAGCAGAACTGAAATCTGCAAAATGAAGAAAACAAACATGTTTTATACTTATTAGGTATATAACAAAATGTATACTTTGCATAAAGAAGAAGACTAATAGATCTTGGCCAAAGAAAAACAACAGAATTTCAACTAATTAATGGATCCTAAATTTTAAAGTTCAAGACCACAAATTCTACATAGCAGAATGTAATTCTTTTCTCCATCTGCTACTTGGTTAAAAAACAAAAAGAAGAAGAAAATAAATAAGTAAATAAATAAAGCATCTATTGATTATATTAACATAGTGATTATATAACTATGTTTTCTTAATATTATTTTTGTTAGATTACTAGACAATCTCCATCACTTATTAATCTTTACTTAATCATCTCATGTGTTGTTAAGGAAGATGTGCTTAGGAACTAAAATAAAAACAAAAATGCAACATGAAAACTTCATTTACTGAGTGTCATGCTCATTCAAAGTGTTAAAATTTCAAGCCTCCAGGAAAAAAAAGGAAGTTTCAAAATAAATGAGGGTGATAATAAACAAAACACATAAAAGACAAAATAATGAAAGTTTACAAGACATTTGCATTCTAGTTGAACATATAATCTTCTGTTACAATATGGTATCTATCACGTGCATTTTCAGTCTTACTTCTGAATAGCATTAATATTCTATGTATTGAATACTATCAAAGTGGTAGAACCCATTAAAAGAGGATATCAGTTCTGTTTTATAAACTGTGAGGATTTATTTTAATATTTTACTTATAAATATTAAAAATGTTACCATGTTCATATAAATGATCTTCTGAAATTTGTATGACTCAATGTACCCCACAACATACATGGGAAATAATGAGGCTATCTGAAATAAAAATATAAAAAAGCAAAAGTGAAATGAATTATAGAAAACATACATTTCACTATTCATAGGTAAAGTAAATATAAGAGTTTTATTTTCAGTAATCATGGACAAAGTGATTTGAATTAACTTTCCCATTGAGAACTAACATAGCTAAGAAAATGTTTATAAAGATCTGCATGAAAGTCACAAATGATTAATAAGGAAGTAAACAATTATGAAGCTAAGATCAAGGAAAAATGGAAATCGATAGTGGTGAGCATGTTTTGGGTCATTTTTCCTAGAGGTTTCTGCCAATCCCGGTAAAGGTGGAGGACTTCCAGTTTCATTAGAGGCAGTCGGGAGACTGACAAACTAGCTGGGCAGAGCTTTCAACAGACACAATAGTCAGGGTACATCAAGAAGGGGATCCCTGGTGAACCCCCAGTCTTTGGTTTAGGTCCTGAAAGGGCTTTATTCTAGGACGAAGAGTAAACCAGCAGTAGAGTAATAGGGAAAATTGTGTGTGGGGTCAGTGGCTCATGTTGAATCTGTAGATCATTTTGGGTTATATTGTATCTTAACAATATTAAGTCTTCCAATCCATGATCATGGGATGTATTTCCATTTATTTATGTCTTCTTTAATTTCTTTCAGTATTATTGTATATTTCAGTGTAGAAGTTTTTCACTTTTGTGATTAAATTTACTCTTAGATATGTTATTCTTTCAGATGCTATTTTAAATAAGATAGGTTTCTTCATTTCCTTTCTAAACTGTTCAGTACAGTATATAGAAATACAACTGATTTTTGCATGTTGATCTTGTACCCTGTAACTTTGCTGAGATAACTTATTAGCTCTAGTAACCTTCCTGTAGAATTCAAGAGAGGTTCAACATAAAAAATCGATCATTGTGAAATACCATATTAGTAGAACAAAGGGAAAAAAAACCCACATGATCATCTCAATTGATACAGAAATCCCTCCTTTCCACATTGGATGCCTTTTTTCTTGTCTAATTACTCTGGCTAGAACTTCCAGTACAATGTAGAATAGCAGTAGGGAAAATACATATCCTTGTCTCATTCCTGATTTCAGGGATAAAGCCTTCAATATTTCACCACTGTGTATGATTTTAGCTGTAGGTTTTCCATAAATGTCTTCATCATGTTGAGGAAGTTCACTAATGTTTTTTTTTTTTTTTAAATCATGAAGGGCTGCTGAATTTTGTCAAATGCCTTTTCTGCATCAATTGAGATGATAGTATATGTGTGTGTGTTTCATTGCATTAATGTGGTATATTATATTTATTGATTTTATGTTGAACCACTATTGCCTTCCTGAGATAAATCTACTTGTCCATAGTGTATAATCCGTTTAATATGCTATTGTATTTGGTTTTTTGGTATTATGTTAAGGAGTGTTGGATTTACATTCACAAGGGATACTGGGCTCTAATTTTCTGTTCTTATGATGTCTTTATCACACCCTTTGATATCAGGGTAATGCTGGCCTCATAGAGTGAGTTAGGAAGTGCTTTCTAATTTTTGTAAGATTGTAGAAGCATCGGTGCTAATTTTTCTTTAGATGTTTGGCAGAATTCAGCAGTGAGACCATCTGGTCCTGGTCTTATCTTTCTTTGGACTTTTTGATTACTCACTCAATCTCTTTACCTTTTATAGATCTACTGAGATTTCCTGTTTCTTCTTGAGTCAGTTTATGTAATTTGTATGTATCTAGGAATTAGTCCCTTTCATCTAGTGTTCTGGTTACCTATTGTCACTCTGACAGGAATATACCACAAATGGGATGCTTGAACAAACAGGAGTTTATTCTCTTACAGTTTGGAGGCTTTAAGTCCACGTTCAAAGTGCCAGGTTAGGGGCTGGGTGAAAGTTCCTCAATCTTGGGTTTCAGCTCTGCCTCCCACTCCTGGCCCACTGGAGCTAGAGGCTTTTTTTTCACTCAGACAGCTGCTGGCTGGTGAGACTGACAAACCCAAGGTTGACAAGTAAAAAAGCACAGTCCTGATGTTACCAAACCACATGGCAGGCCATTAATTCAAGTCCATTGATAGTCCCAAGGTTGGCAGAGCATGGCAGGCTGCTGAACAATTACATGGCTACATGCAGGGTTCAAGCGTGCTGGAGCTGGAGACCATTCCCAAAGCTACTTCTTGTATATAGGAAGCAGACTTCATTCCTAAAGCAGCTACTCAGCTTCTCATGGTAGATGCCACCATGGAGATGACTACCAGTCTCATCATGGGGAATAACTACCACCATCTACCTAGCCACTCAACCAGGCCCAGCCAAGTTGACGTACAAACTTAACTACCACATCCAGATTATCTAGTGTGTTGGCATATAGCTGTTCATAGTATTCTCTCATAATCTTTTTAAATCTCACATCAGTAGAAATATCCTCACTACCATTCTGATTCTAGTTACTTGTGTCTTCTCTTTTTTCACTGTTGTTGTTAGGTGCCATTGAGTTGGTTTTGAATCACAGTGACAGTACAACAGAATGAAACACTGGCTGGTCCCGGGCCATTCTCACAATTGTTGCTGTGCTTGAGCCAATCATCACAGCCACTCTGTCAATATATCAAATTGAGGATTTCCCCTTTTTTGTTGACCATCTACTTTATACAGTATATTATGCTTCTCTAGGGACTGGTCCCCTGTGACAACATGACCAAAGTATATGAGATGAAGTCTGGTCATTCTTGCTACTAAGAAGAATTGGCTGCACTCCCTCCAAGACATTCATTAGTTCTTCTAGCTAACTTCTTCTAGTTAGTTCTCCATGGTACATTAAATATTCTTCACCAATACCACAATTCAAGTGCATAAATTCTTCTGCAGTCTTCCTTATTCATTAATTGTTCAGCTCTCACATGCACATGAGGCTATTGAAAAGATTATGGCTTGGAGTTAGTTAATCTTCAAAATTATATCTTTGCTCTTAAGACATCACTAAAAAGGAAAAAACAGGAACATTCGTCATGAATATAGATGCAAAAACCTTCAACAAAAATCCTAGCCAAAAGACTCCAACAACATATCCAAAAAATAATACATTATGACCAAGTGGGGTTCATATCAGGTATGCAAGTATAGTTCAACATTAGAAAAACAATCAACATCATCCATCACATAAATAAAACTAAGGAAAAGACCACATGATCATATCAATTGATGCAGAAAAGGCATTTAATAAAATCCAACACCCATTCCTGATAAGAAAAACTCTCAGGAAATAGGAATAGAAGCAACATTCCTCAACATAATAAAGACATATATGCAAAACCAACAGCCAACATTATTCTCAATGGAGACAGACTGAAACCATTCCCTTTGAAAACAAGAACCAGACAAGGATGCCCTCTATCACCACTTCTATTCAACATTGTACTGGAAGTCCTAGTTAGGGCAATAAGGCAAGAAAGAGAAATCAAAGGAATCCAAATTGGCAAGGAAGAAGTAAAACTATCCCTATTTGTTGGTGATATGATCCTATACCTAGAAAACCCAAGAGACTCAGTCAAAAATCCACCAGAACTAATTGAGAAATTTAGCACAGTGCCAGGATACAAGATCAACACCCAAAAATCAGTTGGATTCCTCTACACCAGCAAAGACATTGGTGAAAAAGAAATAAGTAAATCAATACTGTTTACAATAGCTACTAACAAAATAAAATACTTGGGAATAAATCTTACTGGGGACACAAAAGACCTCTACAAAGGAAACTATAAAAAAAAACTGCTTCAAGAAACCATAAGAGATATACATAAATGGAAGAACATCCCATGCTCATCGATAGGAAGATTGAACATTGTGAAAATGTCAATTCTACCCAAAGCAATCTATACATTCAGTGCAATCCCAATCCAGATGCCATCAACATTCTTTAAAGATAAGGAAAAAAACAATCACTAACGTTATATGGAAAGGAAAGAGACCTTGGATAAGCAAAGCACTATTGAAGAAGGTCTCACACTCCCAGATCTCAAAACTTACTGTACTGCCAGAGTAGTAATAATTGCCTGGTACTGGTACAATGACAGACACATAGACCAATGGAATAGAATTGAGACCCTGGAAATGGATCCATCGACCTATGGTCAGCTGATCTTTGACAAAGTGACCAAATCCATTACATGAGGAAAAGATTGTCTGTTTAACAAATGGTGCTAGAAAAACTGGACATCCATTTGCAGAGAAATGAAACAAGATCTGTACCTCACACCATACACAAAAACGAACTCCAGATGGATCAAAGACTTAAATGGGAAACCTAAAACTATAAAATTCCTCAAGGAAAAAATAAGGGCATTTGGGGCTCTAATATATGGCATAAATAGACTATCAAGCATAACCCAAAATGTGCAAACAGCAGAAGAGAAACCAGATGATTGGGACCTTCTAAAACTTAAATTTTTATGTGCTTCCAAAGACTTCTCCAAAAGAGTGAAAGGAGAACCTACAGATTGGGAAAAAATATTTGGCAACAACATATCTGACAAGGGATTTATCTCTAAAATTTATAGAAAACTCCAACACCTCAACAACAAAAAGACAAATAATCCAATTAAAAATGGGCAGAAGACACTTCACCAAAAGAGGATATTCAGGAGGCCAACAGACACATGAAAAAATGTTTACAATCATTAGCCATCAGATAGATGCAAATAAAAACAACAAGGAGATACTATCTTGCCCCAGCACCAGCAGTGAAGTTCAACAAGACAGAAAATAACAAATGTTGGCAAGGATGCTGAGAGATTTGGACTCTCATACATTGCTAGTAGACTGTGAAATGATACAACCACTGTGGAAAGCAGTATGGTGATTCTTTAAAAAGTTGGAATTAGAAATACCATTTGGCCCAGCAATTCCATTACTAGGTATATATCTTAAAGAAGTGAGAGCCAGGAAAAGGACAGATATATGCACACCCATGTTCACTGCAGCACTATTTACAATAACAAAAAGATTGAAACAATCTTGATGCTCATCAACAGAAGAATGGATAATCAAACTATGGTACATAGACACAATGGAATACTATGCAACCCTAAAGAGTAATGTAGAATCTGAAAAACACCACATAGCATGGATGAACTTGGAGGACTTTTTGCTGAGTTAAATTAGTCAATCACAGAATGACAGACATTGTATTAGTACGTTATTGTAAAAAGTCAAGGAAAGGTTCATACATGGAAGGGGTGGGAAGGGAGGGAACACTCTTAGATAGGTAGAGATATGTACTGATTTGAGTGAAGGGAAGGGCAATTTACAAATGTGAGTGATGAACACAGTGGCACTGAGGAAGAGGAAGACACAGAGAGGTGCATGGGAGGTACAAAAAACAAAGATGAAACCTTTCGCACATACAGTACTGCATTGTCAGTGATGGCAAACATTGATGTATGGGTGGATAGATGGGTAGACAGGCTGAACGATTAGATATGTCTATGCAGGGGGCAGTGTGCCCATGATCATGTATAGGGTTGGCAGATAATGTTTCTGCAAGTGTATTTGTATGTTCTGTAAGAATCTCCAGGTAAATAGGAGAGCTGACAAGGGACAAGTTTGTAGTCACCTCTTGGCCATAGCCAGCTGCCTGGAGGGAGCAAGTAGTTGGATCTGTGGGCTCGGAACCATGGTTGCAGGGGACGTCAAGCTCAACTGGCATAACATACTACACAAACACATTGTTCTACACCCTACTTTGGCAATTAGCAACTGGGATCCTAAAAGCTTACAAGCGGCCATCTAGATGCAACGATGGGTCTCACCTTGTCAAAAGCAGAGAAGAATGAAGAAAACCAAAGACACATGGAAACAATTAATCCAAGGGACT